ATGCGAATATAGGATAACTCCCAGACTCTGTTTACGAGACGAACAGTGTTCACACGGAACCGGATTAATTGTACTCCCAGAATATTTACGTCCCAATCCTTACCGGTACAAAACGAGACCTATAGTTTTATTTCGTCTCGAATTCGTACGGAATTCGTCTGATTTTATGCGTCCCGTGTGACATGGGAGAATAGTAGACATTAATTTACACTATATGCTCACTTTTGGAGTATGTCGGTGGATTGGTATTCTTTGTTATAGTTTGTAGTAATTTAATTAACCTTCTCCGTGCGCATGGCAAACGGCAGAACTGATCACGCCATGAGAAACAGGAGATAAGGTAGCCCAACAGCTTGTTCTTCACCAAGTCATCGATCTGCCAAGGTGGCTCACATTTATTGTAATTATATAATTAACCTATTTGCATGTGCAAGCAAGACTGTTTTGTCTATCTCAGCTCTACCGTTGCGTGAAATGTACATGCAAGTACCTGTAATAGGCTGATAGCCAACACAATTATAACAACAACAATAGCAATTTTGTTCTTGGCTACTGATACACGTACAAACAATATATACATTATCTTTATTAATGTTGACGTACGTTTAAGTGCATGGATTCATTACACAAAATCGAATGGATTTTATATAGAGACTTTTGTGAAGACACATCCTACGCTGAACTGAAGTTCAATCCTTTGAACCTTGGCATATAATCTGAGTATGGAAGGTAGGATGATCAACAGTTGACTGAATATATACGTAATTATATATTTTTTATCTAATTTTAAACCTACTTTACATATGGTTGTGACTGTCAATGCAACGGATCAAGTCTTTTTCGACGATGTCATAGTAAAAGTTCCTCAGGATTAAGGTTGAGTGGTTGACCGTTTACTGAACAGTCCGCTAATCCACAAACGGCAAATTTCAAACCAGGATTGACGGGAAGTCAACTGTTAGTTGAAAATTGAAACATGAATTAACATTAATTAAACAACATTTTTTCAAAATTTTTCATGATTAACATTGAACTAACATTTTTATCTTCGTATTGTCAGTAAATCTCCATAACTCTATACTTCTCTTCTTTTTCCTAATATTATAACTGTACTCTAAGCCATTTCTTTCCTTTATTTGATTTGACTGCATTAAGAAGTAATTTCAATAAATCAGTCCTAAATCAAAGTTTATATCAAAGATTTAGGTAATTCAATAGTCTGTTAAGGTCTCAGTACTAGGTCTCTTCTCTCTAGCCCTATCATGCATTTGTAAATATTATCTTGATTGATGAGTTAATTATGTAATCGTGTACATATGGAAAATAATAAACAAATAAAATTATAACTGCTTAATTATAGCTGTCACTGAAAAACTTGTGGAATGTAGCCGTTTTGAATGCGATTTGAAGGGTTCGCCGAATCGCCTTTGCGGTCAGCGGTGTGCCGTAAACGTCAATCTTAATATCCCTAGCAGATAATCACTTTCATCTCTATAATTGTTCCTATTCTTCATGGTATACTACTCTGCTAAGGGAGTATCAACAACGTCAACCTTCCTGTATCTATACAGCTGTACTTTTTTTTAAGATTAATCAGTTTACAATAACAATTAATTGAAAGCTCAAAATTAAGTCCTGCCTGGCATGCTAAATTATAACACGACTATTTAGAGTAACAATTCACAGATTACACATCTTTATAATTATATGTACATAAAATTCGCTAAACCTGTACTTTTAGGAAAAACATATATATATATATATATATATATATATATATATATATATATATATATATATATATATATATATATATATATATATATATTGCTCTATGGCCTTTGTGTCATAATGAGCACTCTACAGGATGAGCCATTGCTGCTTACGCATTGTGCGCATGCTCACTGCTTACAGTTTGAGCACTCTGGCAATGGTTTGATGTCCCACATTCGTGAGACATCAAAGGTAACTATTTATAGTGGTTACTTTCGTCCTGCTCATCAGCACTACACTGATGAGGCCCAAAAGGCCGAAACGGTACCGTCTGTAGTTATATATATATATATATATATATATATATATATATATATATATATATATATATATATATATATATATATATATATATATATATATATGCACAGCTAACTCAAAAAAGGTTGTCCTTTGCAAACCTTAAACTCTAAACCTTAAAGGGGAAGTCAAGTCCATTCTGCGCATCGGTTCTGGGCATAACAATGTGAGGACCTAATTTGAAAATTGCCCAAATTTCGAATTTTTTCGAATTTTTCTGAACATAAACTATATTTCATATTCATTTAGAAGCATAGCAAACCAAAATGGTGTTAGATATTCAGACAGTACATCATATTTTAAAAAATACAGCAGTTCAAAATGTAAACAAACCGTTTGTTTACATTACGGACTTGCCTTCCCCTTTAAACCTTAAACTCTAAGCCCGCAAAGCATAATGGGAGCACGATTTAAGCAGTTTAGAAAGCATATTTGGAGCCCATTTATTAGATATATGGTAAATATCTCCCTTCGAAAACATTTCACTCAAAAACAGATGCAATTTTGAACTACTAAGCTTGCAATTTGTGCTCCCATTATGCTTTGCGCGCTTAGAGTTTAAGGTTTAAGGTTTAGAGTTTAAGGTTTGCAAAGGACAACCTTTTTTGAGTTAGCTGTATATATATATATATATATATATATATATATATATATATATATATATATATATATATATATATATATATATATATATATATATATATATATATATATATATATATATATATATATATATATATATATATATATATATATATATATATATATATATATATATATATATATATATATATATATATATATATATACAAATCATTGGTCTAACAACATCAAACATAGTGTTTTTGAGTTTAGTTTAGCGGCTGAGCAGTAGTCAGTAAGAGAGGATATCATTTCTCCCGCGGGTAGACTGTTTAATGAAAAATGGGGGACAATCCTATATTGAAAAATAGATTTTGGAAAGATGTTCTGCAGAGGTTTAGTCAGTGCAAATCGATAGGGCTAAGGCGAGTATGTGATCACAAGACGGATTGCCTATTATACAGTGATCGGTTTTAAGCAACAATGCCGACCAGATTTACATTTGTAAAACAGTATCATATATTTTCTTTTGAACCATGCATTATGAGATGAGGAGTCAAGGTGAATTTGCTTTAAACACGGTTGGTGTAAGATGACTACAGTCTTAGAAACACTGCTTTCTTTCAACTTCAAGTCTTCCTGTTCTATGTTTCAAGAAACATCTAACCGAGTTAACTTGATTCGGTTGACTGATGGCTAGCTATACAGGCATGGGATCGGTTCGATTTAGACGACTAGTTTACTCCTCGTTACACCAATAACGTAGCCAAACTGAAGTCCAAAACTGTTGAGTTAATTTAACACTTTTAACCAAACGTTCAAGAATTATTGAACCAACAATGCAATCCCACCTCCTTCCCCCAAAACAATGTTGTAAGTATGACAAAAAGGTACAGATGGTCAGCTCAGATTTTTTCTCAAGATTTTATTTTTTGTACTTGACTGTAGGATTAGCGCCAACCGGCCTTTTAACATCCTTCCCCAGTATTTAAAAGTGATTAAAATATGCATGGGTTTCTCGAAGTAGTTGCGTAAGAAGTTACGGCAGTGTTGTAATTTAACCTCTGGAGCACCCTGTTTATTTATCTACCTAACATGTAGTCTAGACTCTAGTTAATTTAACCGTACCGCGGGACTTAATCACCTGGTCAAATATAACCAGCTTCCTGGTTACATTAACCATGAGACAATGGTAGGAAGTGATCGACGTAAAATAGCCAGGAAAGGTAACCAGGAATATTAAGTTAACCCAGTAATTGCATGAGTTATTTCTACAAAAGCGGGGATATGATCTCTGGCGTAATTCTATATTTCTTGCTTGTAGTACGTGTTATACCTTATTCAGTTGTGTAAATTGCTATTTTTTGTAAATTGTGCAATACTACGCCTAAATATCGATATATATCGAACGATTTCAGGTTGCTCTCCCAATTTTAAAGGCACAGTTCAGCCTTTTGAATGATTGTTTTTAAGGCGCATTTCAGCCCTTTTAATTGAAAAAAAACTAACTAGGAAAATCAGTTATGCGTAATTTAAGAGCAGTGAACTCAATGTTTTTAACAATAAAATGTTAAAAACATTAAGTTTTCATTCAAAAGGCTGAACTGTGCCTTTAAGCTAACCATATGCATTTGTCCGAGTATATATGTAAGATGTAAATATACTGGGTTCATCCGTCAAATATATAATTATATCATGAATAATTTAACTATACTGTGACAATTACAGCTGGATATACATATAGGATCTTAAGTATATAGCATAAGATTTCGTTGTCTTTAATATACTTAAATATTATTCAAAATACAGATTCTTTTATGAATTTGAGACTATATGTCATATTGTGCGAGCCCTCAAAGTCTAACTTCGTATAACTGATCATGTCGTACACATATAGTCACCGTTATTGTATTGCATGTAAAGTACGCTCTAGTGATCATGTAAATTTTCACATGCTCATGATGAACTGACATGCAGGCTTCTAGTTCTAGCACTTGAAGTGAATACAGTATATGAGGACAAATACATAAATATTTGGACATTTTTTTAACTAGTGGGATCGTAAAAATGAATAGGTTTTTCACTCGAGAAACAGCAGAATACTTTAGCCACATGGGAGACTGTAATCAAGTTAGTCGTATGAGTTTGTGGTCCACACAAATTCACTGTAAATATCAAGGATTCCGGCAAACAAATGAAGTCCAAAAGTCTTATTCTGGGAGCGTATTTTGGTGACAGAATAACACTTTTGAAATTGATTAGTCAACTTAAAATTAGCATTGTATAGATAGTCGTCAAATGACATATATCTAGACCACTAAATTCATCAAAGTTTATCACCATTTGTTCAATATTTACTTACTTGTCTTTGTCTCTCATTTCCATGATGGCCAAATTATTGACACAACTGTATATCCCTTCGCTTTAATTAATTAATCCGGTTCAATTCCCTTTCTCAGTCCATTGTCATTGATATCGAGTTAAACTAGTAGAAGTTTGACATCTGTAGTTGTTTTTTTTTACGAGCTTAAACGTGATCGAATTATTACTGAACTCTGCAGGACATAATTATAGAGCTTATCAAATTTTCATATATACTGTTGCATGCTAGTTAACCGGGACATGTGGGTTTGAGAAGCCTGCGAAAGTCTGATTAGGAATGAAGTGCATGATGCAGATCTTTAGCCGGTATACCCACAATTAAGAACCCCGCTTAACTCAAACATACTCCCCGAGCTCTCTCCTCCGCAGAGGCTTTAGTTTTCTTAGGATTTAATATTACAATGAGATACATTTCACTACACTTTACATGGCGGATCTTGGAACACGAGCGTAGCCGCTGGGGGAAGGAGCGCAGGCGGCCCCGAGAATAAGTTATAAACACGAACTGGATCGAATTCCCCCCGGTTAACTCAACTCGCCGCTCACTCGAACTCCTCGTCACTCACCTATAACAAATTTCATTTTCCCTTCGTCAAATTTACCCGCGGGCAGTAACTCGAACTGTATTTTTGAGTCAAAATGTCAGAACATAGCACATTGACATGCAAGTCGGATATTTGGGGCTATTCAGAGTGAGACAAGACAGAACTTACAATTTATAATCGGTATACTATAATATAATACAATTAATTCATGATTGAGTCGGGTTTTTTTTTACTTTGACGTACCGAGGTGATTATTTTTAATAATCGCCTTGGATAGTCGGGATCGGATATATTTGTATCAGATAATGCCCTCGGCCGCTGCGCGACCTCGGGTCATTAGGGAGCTTAAGCATGCATAGGACGGCAACACGACGACGACGGCCAAAACAAATTCCTTCAAATAAATGATAGTAAAGAAAACTTGTTGTATATTATAATTCCTATGAATTTAATACAGTATAAGAAGCTGAAAACATTGGCTTTATCATGCAGGGAAGAGTTCTACGGACCGAATTTTAAGTTGCACTTATTACGGCTTGAAATGCAGGCGGCGTTGTATAAAGACGTAAAAATCTGTGATTTACCGTTGTAAACAGAGCTACGTCTGCAGGGCCTATCAGAGAAATTTGTGGGCCCGGGGCAAATATTTGTTTCGGGGGTCCTATTTTTCCCGAAAATGTTGGCGAGCGGGGGGGTGGGGGGAGGGGGGTGGGAGGAAGTGAAAAATTTTTCTGGACATTACAAAAAGGGTCAAAAAACTTTTTCTGATCGAACATGAATTAAACTAAGGTTCAAAAATTTTTTTCCGGACAAATTCATGTTACAACATGGCTCAAACCGGGTTTTTTCGATCAATAAATGTCATATTTCTCATACCATTATTTATATCAAAACATGTTCACTGAATATTTTTTTAAATCTGAAACTCCCCCGGGACTTTTTCTTTCCATTGACTCATTAGGGACGTTAAGCATGTACGACGGCAACGCTACGACGACAGCCAAAACAAACGTCTTCAAATAAATTATTGTGATGAAGAAGAGTTGTTGTGTATTATCTCCTGCATGTATATATGAATTGAGTTCAGCCGAGGAAATTAAAACAAAGGCTTTATGGTTAAAAACGCTTCTGCTGAGCGAATTTGTAGTTTCACTTGTCGCGTCTGGACATGTTTGCGTTATACAGGGTGTATAAAAAAAAAACGCAACCTCGGAATTTCCCCCAAGAAATCGACATTGTTTTGAAGACAAAAGATTTTATGCGCCTGGGAATTTAAAATAGCACAACTGTCAAAATTACTGCACACGCGAGTGCATAAAGCAAAATTTATGCATTTATTTAATGCACAACAACAGTAATATGATCTATTAGCAATTCGATTTCAATTCCCAGGGACCTTAAATCTTTTATGCTTAAGAATTACTTAGGAAATTCCGAGGTTGCGTTTTTTTTTATACACCCTGTACATTAGACGTGAAAATCTCTGTTCTGCCGTTGTAAAAAACCCTAACACCACTTCTCTAACTCCCGTGGGGCTTTTAATTATTCATTTCTTTTGTACGAGATCGGGAATATCATTGTGTGAATCGCCTTCGTCGTCGCGTTGCCCTCCTGTTTGCTTAAGGTCCCTATTGTATTGGTTGCCGTCGTCGTCTCGTTGCCGTCCTACATGCTTAAGCGCGGCCCTATTATCTGACATAAATCCCTCCTTCTCGGTGTAGTTTAATAGTTTACGGTGTTTATCCTATACATATCATATAATGCAAACCATAAAGAGATAAAAGGTTCAACAAGTTGCATCGCGATTATTGTTGACGTTGCGTATAGGTATTGTTCGTAGTTACTGTACTTTTATACTATGACGTCATATTTCCGCCAAAATTCAAGTTTTCTATTTGTGATCCTAGTTTGTGTATTTTGTTCAATTCTTAATACAACATTCAACTTTTCACAATTGAACATTCAACTTTTCACACAATTGAACATTCAACTTTTCACACAATTGAACATTCAACTTTTCACAATTGAACATTCAACTTTTCACACAATTGAACATTCAACTTTTTTACGCAATTCAACATTCAACTTTTCACAATTCAACATTCAATTTACACAATTCAACATTCAACTTTTACGAATTCAACATTCAACTTTTCACGCAATTCAACATTCAACTTTTACGTAATTCAACATTCAACTTTTTACGTAATTCAACATTCAACTTTTTACGCAATTCAACATTCAACTTTTTACGCAATTCAACATTCAACTTTTTTGAACATCCAACCGCAATCCAATTTAAACGACGTAACGCCGGCTCACATGTGGCTCAATCACGAGGTGTAAAATATGGCGGATTTAAGCGAAGTGAAAGAGACACTAGGCAAGTTAGCAAATAGAATTTCCGACTTGCAACAGTCAAGTAAGGCATCTAACAATTCAGGTAAGTGTAATATTGATTGTATTGGTTTATTAATATTCCTCTAAAAGTACTGTACTACACCTGAGTGACCTCTACTATTTTGTCAACATAAAATTTTAAATTTACATAAAATTTGCGGCGCTAGGGTAGAGTGTCGTTTGTATAATCTTATGTTTTTAGGATAAATTGATTCGAACAAAATAAAAAGCAGCGAATAAGTGAATGGAAGGTGTTTTTGTACACGTTTAATCCACAATTTGATCGAAATATATTATAAAGTGTATACAGTTGAATATGATGCTTGTGATGTTACTCTGAGTGTATATCTACACCGATTTGTTCAGTTGGCAGAGCATTGGGCCAGTATTCTAAAGGTCGTAAGTTCGATTCCCACCGTGGTCAGGCATATTTTTCAAGCTTGCCCGGTGTGGATATACACTGACTCAGAGTAACATCACGAGCATCATATTCACCTGAGTACATTACACCAACACAGAAAAAATCATGATTATTAGATTACATTGTCATTGATATCGAAGGAACTAGATTCTGTTCCGAAATATCACATACTCGAACCGACCAGACCGTGTAGCTCAGTTGGCAGAGCATTGGGCTAGTCATAGGTTCGATTCCCACTGTGGTCAGGCATATTTTTCAAGCTTGCCGGGTGTAGATATACACTCAGAGTAACATCACAAGCATCATATTCACCTGTATACACTTTATAATATATTTCGATCAGATTGTGGATTAAACGTGTACAAAAACACCTTCCATTCACTTATTCGCTGCTTTTTATTTTGTTCGAATCAA